AATGGGAATAGGTCATATCGCAAATGGCGATGGAAGGGGGGAGGAGAAAAGCAGAGGGAAGGCAAGTGAAGTGAAGAGGAGGGAAGAGAAGTCGTCTATGTCTCCCTCGTTTCTATCCCCACCCTCCTCATCCTCCTAAAGCCACGCATCTTTTTAATTAAACATCTCAATATTTCAACTAGTGGATATCGTTTCACCTTTGCATTAGTAGCAGACAATCGCAAGATCATACGCAGATAAAAAATATGGATAGATATTGAGAAAATGAGTAACAAGAGTGGAGGCGACAGGGCCTAGGGCTACTTTCTGTCTTTTATCTAAGTTTGTGCCTTATTGGTGACTCTAACTTGCTTTTCTTTAACTTTGGAAGACAAAATATTTGATAGAGAAGAACTTTATGTCTAACTTGTGTCATCACTGACAAAAGATAAGCGGCTGTCCTTCTGGCAGCTTCCTTTATTCGTTTACTCCTGAACATATGAGAGGATCATTCAAACGTATTTAATTGCTCTGTATTTTGACTCCCTCTCAGCTGGCCTTTTCATTATTTCTTCCAAATAAAAGGGACCGGATTTCTTGTTAATGTGATTTTTTGCTAGTCATTTTATCGTTTTCTATCTCCTTAACTCTATAACCTGAAAATTATTAAACTTCTCTCATGGCAACAGGTTCCGATGTAGTGGTCAAATACACCTCCATTTGTCCATCCACCTGTTCCCGTGGCGTGAACATTTTTTCCTGTTGGCATAGCCACAAGTCCATATCCAGCTCTCTTTATCATCGATGGAAAAATACTTTACCACACTCTTAGATCGTTTTACGACTTCCGAGAAAGCACAGATCGCTACGTTGGTGATAGCGGTAAACAAACTCCATCCGAATGAAAGTTTTTTGATGTGGATGGCTGAATCTACGGATGCTCACTGCAGAAGAGCCTTAATGGTGTCCACATTTAACACAATCTCCCAAAAAATTCGCTTTCACCTTCAGCCCTGTCACGTGATTGGCTACTACTCATGGCAGGACTTGTTACCCATCGAAACAGAGAAGCAGTCACAGCGTTCAAAAGAGGTACCCGAAACGCAACTTCGACTACTCAAGTTCTTCACTCGCCTCGAGTTTAACTACCGCCTAAATGGTATGAACATTCTACAGCACTCGTGTACCCTTAGAGCTGGAAGCAGCCCAGGTGCAACAGGTAACAAGTCCCGATCCGACGAAAGGTCATAATTTTTTCTATTTTGTCCGCTTTACCTAATCAGCCCCGTTTCGTGGCCCAAAACTGACATTTCTTGTTTAACCATATACATATATGTGATTTGGTGCCTCATTTGACTGGATACTTGCCTGTGGGAACAATTCAACCTCCTCAGATGTACTTTCACTCTGCTACGCGGGCTTCAGGTCAAGCCAAGGGATGTCCAACTGTTCTCTCTGGCAAGTAGCATGTTCTTTGACCTCACTAACACTTCTTATTACTTCAGGAAAGACTCGAGTCGCTAAACTAGTGGCGACTGAGACCAAACCGACGGTAATTTACTTACGGACCGTCGTGGTAGCACATCTGTGCGTGTTTGCTAACTTCTTGTAATGGGATATTTCACAAATGGGGGTTAGACACATTTTCTTTTCTCACCATTTTGAATTTCTACAACTACATGATTTTGAGTCTCCGTCCATCTACTAAATGATACATCCTAGAGGAGTCAGACCATGTCACAAACTGATTTAGCATGTAAAACATGGCAGGGGGTAGGTCCTCCAAATTTCTCCCAAGCGTTACCCCTCGAATCGCTGTCCAACTTTGTCAGTAGATTATAGATGGACATGAAATCCAAAGCACATTATGCTTCCGTGTAAAATCCTCTTACCGCCCAATTAAACCTTTTTCTTCTCAAGTAGGTAAAACATGGTTTTCTTCTTAAGATTCCAGAAAAATTGACAACAAAATTTTTATCCTTTGATCGGCTTATCTTGTAATGCTACTGTCCACAGTCCCACTAAGTATATGCCAAACATCTAAAAGGTCCCTTCCTACCCACCAGTTTAGCCGTACAATCAAAAGGCATTTCCAGATATGAATAAATAATTAGGCAATATCTGGATAACATAAAATTTTACTCTCTCCTCTCCTATCGTAAACACAGGCCACGTTCAGATCAACTAAATATCAGTTACAAGTTTAGGGGATGTTTTCTCAACAAATTGCTTGATAAAGATGTGGAAAAAATAACTTTTTGTAAGAAAAGAGGGGGATGACTCACATTGTCCCTGTTTAACTGTGGCATGAATAGCTCTGACATCACAGGAGTCAGGAATCGCATCCTTTTGTAGACACGAACGGAATGCAAAGGTGTACGTCCTATCCGATTGTAATCCAAGAATGGTAACTCTGAAAGCCGAAAACGACGATAAATTAGATGATTATTGCCCTTTTTTGGCAAAGTGGATTAAACTGACATGCCTCCACCTCAAGGCTGTCTGCCACGGTCGCGGAGGTGTTGGCACTGTCACTGCTGGATCATTAATGGATTCCAGTTGTGACCCTCCGGTCTCTGTCATTAATAAATATTTAGGCGTGCAGTTGGCCAATAATTAATTGTCTTAGTGTCATCACCTTAAAATGCAATTCTCATAAATTATTTACTGGCATCTTGCGCCTATTTTATGCTTGCAGATAAAATGCCCACGCAATCACTTCCGCAAACATTTTTTTCTAAGAACTCCTAACCACTGTCTGATGGTGCTGCTGAACCATCTGCACAGACTCCTTCAAAATCGTAAGGCCTAATCTTAGAGTCGACTGCCACAAATCCCATTTCCTCAATCGGGGGAGGGGCATTTGATTGCTTTCTGACTCTTCAAACTTGTGCCGTCTAAGTCGATGGAAATGTGTGTCATGTTTGCAGTCGGGAAGGTATTGGGAGATATGTTGTTGTAAACGTGTTAGAAACCAACCCTCTCATTCCTGCTTTCAGTCTTGATTCCCTTTTTATAGCTTTACTGTTTTGCAACGTCTTTATTGAGGAGCTGAGAGGTGCATCTTTAATTGACGGTGATAGACTAATCAAATTCAGTGGTTTTAAAATCCAAACCTCACAGAAGGTCACACATATTGTTAATGATAGAACCTGTGGGAGCTCACAATAGAAGGGTGTTTCAAAGTCACGAGGTCTGCAAGGGGACAAGTGGCAGCTGACACGGCATTGGATTCAAAAGGTTCAGTGAGTCAAATGACCTCACGAAGGGTGATAAGGTGCCACAAACTTCGAGGAAAGCTTTGAACTTTTGCTCAAAGCAAAGCAGCTTCTTCTTCAGATTGTTTGTTAACAGGATTTTTCTCCTTTTTTAGCTCAATAAATCCATTCGAAATTGTTTATTTTCCGACTGATTATCACCTACCTAAAATTAATTAACTTCCTTTTACTCTCTTCCCCTTATTTTTTAAATAAAAAAGCAGTAAAATGGTAACAATCCCTTAAAAGTTTTATTGTACTGACTTACAAATTTGGTCTAATTTCAGCAAGCTACGCATAATAACTAGAACCCATCTTTTTCCTTTCAGAAAAGTTTTGTTCCCACACATTTGTCTACACACCCGATTGTGGTGCGTTTCCTATTCCATTAAGAATTGGGGGAGAATAGGAGAAGGAAACAAAGTTGGGAGTCTCAGGGAAGCACCCTGCCGCCTTCCCTGAGGCAAGGGAACATTAAGCAGCTGTTTTTCGTCTGTCTCTTTTATGCACTGCCGTTCAGCTTACTTATTTTTTCCCTTTCTACACACAGAATATGCAAAGAGCGTCAATTTTAACTTTTTAAGAGTATATTATAGGGCGATAGATCAAAACTCCTCCTATATCTTTGTATGCTTTGGTCAGATTTTGGAAAATAGGAAGTTCCAACCTAAGTGGGAAGGAAACCTACTTTTAAAATCCTTTTCTGCAAATTGAGAAGTTTTTATATATGTTTTTATAGGAAATTTTCTGTTTTCATCATGCTGTGAAAAATTGCAGCTTTACTGGTTTAAAAATAGGCTGTGATCTAAAGTTTTATACGTTTTCCTTAATAAACTTGTCAAAAAAGAGGAAATAAACTTATACAAATCAGTAAAGCTCACTCAAAATTTCAAAAAATTGCCCATTTTAGGAGACACCCATTAATGTTTAGGGAAGAAAACGCGTAGGCACCTTTGCCAAAACAAGTAGGATAATTTAAGCGACATTTCAGTAGTATCGTAAGATGAGACATTAAAAACGAAATTTTTCGCATTTTTGTCTTAAGTCAACAACAACAAATGCTTTGCATCTGCCTAAAATAGTTTCATAGCTTTTTATTTTCTAGGAATCGCCAAATGTGTGCTTAACTATTACCACTCCCATTCCCTCCGAGATTGCTTATTGCTAATTTGACAAAAAAAGTTGAAAAACAATGGACTTATTGTTCCATTAACAAGGCAACAATACAATGTTAAATCCATTATGCCTTCATTTCGGTGAATTAACTCTTTTCTTTCTGCTCTTTTTTTCCTGGACTATTTAGTAAACAATAATCCAAACAAGTTTAATTAATCTTTTCGTTTACTTGGCTCCTCTCTTTTTACAAAATTAGAAGTGATTTAAGTGAACTTTATAAGCCTAACACAGAACAACTAGGCTCTCATGACACCTGGCTAGTGCATTAGATCCGGGTTGAAGACCATGCGGTAGCCATTCCTTCTATCGTCGGTCAAGCCAAAAGCGCTCCTCATAGAGGCATAGCCATGTCAAGATTATTACTTGAAAAATTTGCCTTTTCTATGGTTACTATCCCTTTCCTAGTCCACTTTTGGTTTTCAACATGGTTAATTGCACAGATGATCTTGTGCAATGAATTGGTCCCTTGGTGAAGGGGGCCGTGTAAGGGAAAAATTCATAATGATGGTGGATAAAATGAGTGGCCCTTGACAATATAAGAAATACGCATTTATGATGAGGTATGCAAGTACCCACTGAGAAGTCGCGATCAGAACGGTTACTTTTTACAGCAAAAAATAGCAACGCTTGAAAAGGCAGTGGATGTTGATCATACCGACTGAGAAAGACGTTGGTAAAATATGAGTCCTCAAAAATATTTGCATTGAAGGAGGCAAGAAAACGATTGCGGTGTAGGAGATGACCCTCAGTGATCGGTAACCTAACTAGCGTCTTTCTTAAATGAGAGGAAAGCATATTCAAGGTTATGGCGATAAGTGGGTTTATGTCACCAAAAAACGGTTTCACTTTGATTCTCAAAATGTCGCCTCCTTTGTGCTCAATTCTCAAACATTTTAGAACAGTGTGGCATTGTCCCCTCGACCGGTTCTCCTGGTTTGCCAGGTAAACTAAAATGTGATAATCACCTCTATGTAAAACGCGGAATGGTTAAAATACTACAAATAGACGAAATTTAAACCACCCCGTGGCTCCGGCAACTAGCTACCAGTCCCATATGCACACGTCGAGCTCCACCACCTTAGTCACTGGGGCCAGCAATGCAGATATCCTCATGGAATGTTTTGGCCAAGAATAGGAAAATGATTTAGGCGAGGTAATTTCACCAGCAACCACTTATATTATCCCAAATAAAATATCAACAATGCGGTTCACTAACCGAGGTCGGAATTGCTGCGTAACTTTCTCTTTTGCTATGTTAGCCGGTGCAGTAGTGGAGTATATGGAAATGACACTTTAAACAAGGCAGAAATCAAACTGAGTGATTAAGACTACTCCATCTACAAGGTGTTCCAAAAGAAAACCTTTCTCAGCCTCTCTTGATTCGGCCTTTAAGGTAAGGCCGAGGGGGTCTGTTAATACTACTTAATTTATTAAGTACATTAGGCCTATTTCAAGTATATCACAAAACAGAACCAGCTACTTTTATTTTCCCAAACCTTTTGATAATTTGTGAGGCCCTCTCTCTCACTGTACCACACAATGAAAGACGTCTCTGTCAAGCCAGTCTCTTCTGTCCAAGACTCGAAAATAGGAGATGAAAAAAGGAAGAAAAGAAAGGATTTTGAATGTACAATTCAACATGCGAATAACACTGTTGGTAAGTGAATTAGTTTAATCACTAAAGTAGTTAGTTATGAAGGAAATACCTCGTGGTTGTTGTGACACTTCAAGGGAGTGCAATTTTCAGTACTGGGCGTTTATTGCCGCATAAAATAACATTCAACGACATTGTTTTTACACCTATAAATTGATTAAAAACAAAAAGGTGGGGATTATTTCAACTTTGCTAAAATTTTATGACAGAATATTTTTTATTTATTTGTGTCTTTTGACAGGTATCCTTCGTTATTTCACCCTGCATCTCATCCACCCTTAAAATGATATTTAGCTACTCCGTATTTTTTTCAAATATGTGTCTATTTACGCGAGCTCTTCAACTTCAACCGGCTAGACTTTTGCTGCAACCTTTAGTCTTCCATCCCCTTCTGCGCCAAGGATGCCCCTTCGAGGCTCTAGAGAGGATTGGAGGTGTTCCGTTTGTGGCAACAGTAAAGTGGGCTCGATCCTAACAGGACAGCTATCCGTGCTTCTTTGACAGGTCCAAAAAAGAAAGCATTAGATAAAAATAAAAGACGCCAGCTTAAGACGAATCCACACTCCGAATTCTACACAATGTTCAACAATGGCTTTTAGGAATCGAAGTTGACCTTCCATGGTCTAGAAGACCTTCTAGGTCTTCTACGAAGCGCTGGAAGCCATGATTTGTGTTGCGGTCAAAGAACGCTGGTGTCCACTTGTCCGATGGCGATTTGATGCAGGCTTTGCTACAAAATGTGACTGGCACGTGGAATAGCCTTCACCGATGACTGTATCTCCACAGCTTGTCGTACCACCCTTTATTCCGTTTTGCAGTCTTTGAGATACAATTGTAGGATATAATTATGGAAAAAACAGGTGAGCTGATTTTTTCTCAATGTATACGGGGGCCGCCCAGAGGCAGCGGACCGACTGTCACTTTTGGACTTCCGAATATTTATCCTCCGTGATAGGAAACACCAATTTTTGGTAAAAATGTATACAAAGCTAAGTAATGATTTCGTATTTGAGCAGAGAAGCTTATAAAAATATGGGCCAACGCTTGTGGTGATAATTTTGTAGCGTCTTACTTGCCAAGTCCTTAACACGCCTCTTCAATCGGGAGGATATAGGCCAAAATACGTTTCGGAGGCCATACTACTGAAAATGCTTCAGCCTTATTGTCATTTACCTAAAACTTTCCATTTCCAAAAAACAAATGCATGTATTGTCTCCTTTGTAAGTAAAAAAAATTCATTTTTCGAAATCAGCAAAGATTGCTCTGTTTGATGAAGTAAGGAAACAGCAGCCAGGGCGGTGGTTGAGGAAGTGGAGCGAGAAAAGGTGGCACTATTAATCATGTGGAAGGGGAATAAGTCAGACGAAGTTGTTGCGAGTCAATTGAGTAAATTAAAACAAACTTTCCACTGATGTGACGACGGAATAACTTGGACCCTGTGGAATCTATTACTGGAAAAACACAAAGCCGTCTACTACCTTGGAGATAACACGAGAGGGGAAGAGGGAGAGGGAAAAACTTCTGTTGATGGAAAGCCTTGTCTGTCTGTGTTATTCCCTCTAGTGTATAAAAATGTGTCAGTGTTATGGTCTAATAAAGTAAATGGCAACCTTGTTTGTTTTAAAAGCAAATAATCGGTAAGTAGCTACGAGTTCTTCTCCCGCCAATAGTTTTGCTTGAGGAAGGCAAGAAGAAATCCCTCATTCCTATCTCGCATTTTCCTTCTAGTA